GAAGGCAGTGCCTAAGATCAGTGTCCAAGCAGTGCAGCTTGTGGAAGGACTGGCTCTGTCGTCTGGTTGGTTATGCCCCGGGAGTGTGTGAGCTCGTGCACATGTGTATCTGTGACACAGGACACTGTGGCAGTCTTTTAAGTTGAGCTCATACAGCTGGTTCCTCCTATCATCCTTGAGGCCGCCTCCTTGAGTCTCTGCCCAGCTGCCAGAATTCAAGGCCTGGACTGGCAGCAGGGTCGGGACAATTAGCACAGTGGTGTGGAAGTGGAAGAAGAAAGGCAGGTTGCTGCCGGGGACCGACTTGAAGCAGTGGCTTGGATTTCGCCAGTAAACATCTTTCCTGGTAGTGTCCCTGTCGCATGGTCGTCTGTTCACTGGCAGTGGTAACCCAGCATGCAGGGGGACTTTAGGTTGGGCCCTCGGATGGGGCCAAGTATTCAAGAAAGAAAAAACCTGTGGTCCCTAAAGGACCTGCTTTGTAAGTTGGCAATGTTCGTGTGATTTCTGGGCTGCTGGGAAGCTCCCTAGTCTCCCAAATGCATTCATAATACGTAGAATTCTGCCATTTGAGATTCATTCCTTTGGCTTTGTTTGGTCTGTCAAAATGACTGTTTCTTCAAGCATTTGTGCCCTTGGATCCTTACCAGTCATTCACAGCAAATGTCAGGGAGAGGCTCCAGTTCCCACCTGAGAGCTGGATCAGATTATGTGTGATGATGGGGTGGGGCGGGGGTGGTGGTGATAGAGACAGAAAAAGGTTGGGGAGAAAGTTGTCCTCTTCTCAGGTGTTGCCCCGTCCCTGATCTTGCCCCTGCCCCAAGCTCTGCTCACAAAGAATAGCAGTCAGCAAGAGCACCACTGCCCTGCCCACGACACAGGCACAGGCTCCGGTCCAGACCCACCTGGGATGGTTGTATGTAGTTCCACCACCTGCTGTGAGTGACCTTGGCTGAGAGATCTAGCCTATCTGTGTGTTCTCATCTGTAAGATGGTAATAAAATGCCTACTTTGTGGATTTTCTATCTGGATTCAAAAAGGAAATATGTGTCTGTGGCCCCTTGATGGCTGGCATGCAGTCAGCCCTTTCTTGAGATGACAGGTCAGGGCACAGCTGTGATCTAAGTGGTCCTGTGCAGAGGGGACATCTACGGAGGCTTTCTGGAGGAGATGTCTGGACAGTCATCTGTGGCTGTGTTGGCTGATGGGCCTGTTGTCTAAGGTGCTGGGTGCCCAGGTCAACAGATGCTCCGTATTCCAGGTTGACATGGTGCTGAGAAGGGAAGGGAAGGGAGTGAATGCATGTTACCCCCTACCATGTGCTTGGCACTGGCCTGTTTATACCACCCTGGTGAGGCTCCAGGAAGGAGCAGCAGCCTGGCTGAGGCCACACAGCCAAGTGGGAAGGATCAGGGTTAGCAAGGGAACCAGTGCTCTCAAAGGGGCAGCAGTGCCCAGATGCAGGGTCCTGCCTCACTACTTCCAGGCCCTGGGTCCCCCCATCAGACTCCAGACTCCAGTCCTTCTCTGCATGTGCCAGGAAGAGCATTGCTTCTGTCCCTGCTGGGCAGCTCTATGACCCAGATCCTCTGCCTTCCAGGCCCAGCACCAGTAGCCTTCTCTGGCATTGGGGAAGAGCAAGGGGTAGCCCTGCACACCTTTAATCAGACCTGTTATTGGGAACTGACCTGTGTCGCCTGTTGAATCTGTTTTGGGGAAGGGCAGTGGCCTCTCCAAGCTTCCAGCCCCCTCACACCAAAAGAACACAGAATTCTCTGAGGGGATGGGATGACCCTTGGATGAGGGGAGCTCGTCCTGGGAGTGAGGCCAACTTGAATAGACTCCTGCTTGCCTCTTTCCGGCCACATGACATGGAGAAGTGACTCCCCCGTCTGGATGCAGAGTCCTCATGGTGAAGTGCAGCTGTCAGTGTAGTTGTCATGTGCCCACCTGGTGGGCATACAGCCGGTGCTTCCTTCATGGGGCTGCTGTGATGAGGTAGGCCAGGCACCCCTAAAGGAACTCCTGGGCATCCCTACTGGGCCAGGGCCTGAGAGAGGGAAGAGGGTGCCCTAGGAGAAACATGGGCTTCCTTTTTTCTTGGCCATTGCACACAGTGGGACGAGGAGGTACAGTTCACCTTCCCCAAATGATGGCAACTGAGGTGTGGAGACAAAAGCCTTAATTCATCCGCATGGCAACTCGGGCCCCACCTGCCTCCTACAGGCCTAGATGCTGAGGCTGGAGTGACTTCCAGCCCCAGACAGCAGTGTGTGCATGTTGCTGTGATGATAGCCACTCCTAGCCTCTGCTCAGATGAGGCTCCCTGGCCAGTGGGATCTGCGTGACCTCAGACAGACTGGGCTGCCATGTGGCCTCAGTGTGTTGCTTGAAATCCCCATGCTATCACTGGTTTGTTTTGTTGGGCTCCAGCTGTGGTCAGTGTGCCCCACAGGGCAACCCCAGTGTCAGGGAGGCCAGGGTTCCTGGGTTTGAGGCCTAGGCAGGCCACGTAGGGCCACCGGCTTCAGTGGCCACAGGCTACTGTGACCTCACACCCTGGCCAGCATCCTGCAGGCTCTGGGGACCTGCCCTGATGGGAGTGTCCAGGCAAGGACCTCAGAGGCTGAGGACAGGAGGCACCTCAGCTGTTCTCCTGCCAGTGGATAGCCTGCCTTTTATTGAGCCATGCTCAGCCTTCCAGAACTTTTATCCTTCAGCCTCAGGTCTGTCTCTAAAAGCCATACAGAGGTGGTATTCTCCCAAGTCTTCTCTTCACAAAACACCTAGACCGTGGCAGGAATGTGAGTGTCCATCCTTCCATGGTCACATGCCAAGGCCAGCAGGACCCACCCTTGGTGAGAGGGTTCATTGATGTGGTTCCGTTTTTCCTGTGCTAGGCACATATGGCAGCCCCTGCCCAGAGCAAAGCCATCTCTTAAGCCTCCCACACTTACTGCAGTTCCCTGTCAGGTGGATCTGCCTCTGTAGGTGGCCTGTGAGCAAGAACGTCTTGAGGTTGTGACTCGTGACATATCTCACAGCTCCTTTCCACCAAGCTCGGTGCCTGGCACACAGACTGATTCTGAAATACCTGTGAGCACCTGTTGAGTGCCAGTTGCCTGCCAGGTGCTGAGCATGTAGAAGAGCCTCAGACACACCCTGCTCCCAGGCGGAGCCAGTAACCCTGGGAGATGGACCCGCCAACCTGAGACCAGGACAGTGCACCCCATGGGGAGCAGAGAGAAGAGAGTTCAGGCCAGGGGAAGGCACTTCAGGGAGGGTGTCACTGAGAGGTCCACTGCTGAGCTAACAAGGATGAGAAGGGATTTGCCCAACAAAGTATAGGCTGCAGGAAGGCATTTGAGGCCAAGGATTGGTGTGGGCAAAGGCATAGAAACAGAGGAGTGGCCAGGCAGGCTCATTGGATCTGCATGTCCAGGGCAGTCACATCTGCCAGAGCTAGACAACAATTGGCAGAATGCTTACCTCCAGGCCCAGGGGACAACCTCCAAGTGGGAAGTTTGTGAATCTGGATGTCACCTGTTTGGGTCCTGGTTTATGTAGTATTGTAAGCCCAGCTTCCATGCACTGTCAAGCATAATCAGTAATTGTCTCTGGTGTACTCAGCCAACAGACAAATTATTGCTCCCCTGAAACAACCGGTTCTAACAGTGCCCTTTCACAAATCCACACCATCCAGTGTGAAGATTCTGAGGGCCTCCTGGGCCCTCTGGGTTTGCCCTCAAGGTGTTGTACTGATAGCTCCCCTTTCATGACTGCCTGCTGTATCTCAGGCACAGTTTTAGGGACTTTCAAACTTAGAACAGTCCTATGAAATAGACACCATCATTATCCCCATTTTACAGATGAGGAAACCAAGGCTTGGAAAGGTTAAATTGCTCAGTGTGATTCAGCTGGGATTCTAATCCAAGTTTGTCTTTGCACTATGTCAAATCATGGAGAGACTCTATTTTTCTGAAAAATTGAAAATGAAATCTTGGTAAATTTGGTTCCCAGCGACTTAGTTGTGGTTTTGTAGCTGCTTCCCTGCAAAGTCTGATTCATCTTTAATGGGCGAGTTTTGGAGTAGATGACATCAAAACACCCCTGCAGCTGCTTGGGGGGGGGGGGCGAATTAGCAGGCCCAGCATGAGTCCCAGTCGTCATTTTGAGGAGAGCCAGCACCTCTTGGCAGGTGGACCAAAGAACATAAGGATTGGCCGCAGCCAGCCCAGGCCGCAGGGACCATGCCAGATGCATGCCTGACCGTTGTTAGGCATCCAAGGAGGGGCTCTGTTAGCATTAGAAGGAATTCCACGTAAGGAGAGATAGAACAATATTTCAAAATTTTACTTCTGGCTCACCTATTTCAAAACTCGTCTTGAACCGTGATCTTTTCCTTCACAGCTAATCCTGTGGTAGAGCACGTCACACCAGTGGCTGTCCAACTGAAGCCCAAAATTCTCCACTTGCAGGGCATCTCCCGATTCCTCTCTTTTTCTCATATCTTTTAGGAATATGAGCTCTTTGCATTTTACCCCTGGTATTAGTATGTTCGCGTTCTGTTTTTCGTACGTTTGTAGAATGCACACATTTGTTCATTTAACAAATATTCATTGAGCCCTTGCTCTGTGTGTGCCCTGCCCTGAGGAGGCACTGGGGAAGCAGGGGTGCAGCTCGGACATATGTGGGGACTGCTGAGCCTGCGGCCCAGCAAACCCAGACAAGTGTGCAGGAAGCTCCACGCACCAACACGGGACTGGGAGGTGGGCGGCTGCATCAGCCTGCAGGTGCTTTCAACCTGAATTCACTGGCTAACGCTTAAGAGTTCAGACTCCATATGAAAGTTGACTGAGGGATGTGGGCATATAAAAGTAAAAGTGCAGGCTGTTCTGGAAAGTTCGTGTGAGAGTTGAGGATTGCCCATATTGGCTCTGAGTTCTCGTGGGATTTCCTGAGTGTCCTCCTTCTTAGAACACTGCCCTTTGTCTCTGCAGGCCTCCCACCCTGAGCGGCAGCCCTGTCATCTCTGACATCTCCCTGATCCGGCTTTCCCCACACCCTGCTGGCCCTGGAGAGTCCCCCTTCAATGCCCCCCACCCGTACGTGAACCCCCACATGGAGCACTACCTCCGTTCCGTGCACAGCAGCCCCACGCTCTCCATGATCTCTGCAGCTAGGGGCCTCAGCCCCGCTGATGGTGAGTAGGGCCTGGGGGATTGGGAGGGGCAGGGCCCAGTGGGCAGCCCAGTGGCTCTGTCAATGTGGTCAGCTTTGCTCACACTAACACTGTTGATTCCTCAGCCTGGATCCCCTCACATAGTGACCAGACTGGCATTCCTTCCCACTACCCCTGAACAATGAGTTATTTTAGGTAAATGAATGGTGAAAGATTTGGGGGTCAATTGGTTTCTGTGCTTATTAAAGAGCCCTTTGTAAGCACCCTTTTGCATGCAAAACCATACGTGATTTATCATGGTAATAATGTTAAGGGTCTATTCAGGTAGGCCCACTCACTGCAGTAAACCAAAGTCTGCAGAAGCTGGTGTTAGTGAAGGGGGTGCTGTGTAGAGTATCTCCTGGAGCCCCAGAGCAGAAGGAAGGAACAGGGAGGCTGGCTGCTGCCTGCCTCTCTTTTTTATGTGCCCCTTCCAGCTCAACACAGGTGGCCTCTAGATGGCAGCTCAGGCCTCAAGCCTCCAGAGATGAACCTGTGGCTTGAGAGAATTGATTGGCTCAGCTCTGAGATCAGATGGCCATCCCTGGTCCAAATAATTTGAGCCAGGAAAGGGTAGGGTCACGTGGTACAAATATGACTTTTAGATCTAAAATTTTATACTTCTAGCCTCCACCCTCACTTCCCCAACACACACATGCAAACACATGTACACACAAATGCCAGGACAAAGCACACTTGGGATTTGGTCCCATCATGCTGTCTTCCTGGGAAGATGTACCCTCATCCCCAATGTGGTGAGGGCATCACCCTCTGCCCAGTGGTGCTCTGACAGTTCTCTGTTAGCCTCTCATTGTTCCCATCCTTAAAAGCGACCAAGCTGCATGTTCTTAAAACATGCCCAGCTGAGACATTACCTCTCAGGCTGGCATCATTTCCAGGCTAGAGGATGTTTGCAATGTGCACTTGGAGCCCCGTGGGCTGAGGCTCTGGGAAACAAACCCAGTGGTTCGCTTGTTGCTACCTCCATTCTCCCCGGAGAAATGTATCCCGTCCCAGCTCATGCGACTATAAGCTGGAGCAGAGGCCAGGCCCTGAGAAGGTGCAGGCTGGAGTTTCACAATGTAAAGGAGGCTTCTAGCCTCTGAACATGCAGAAAGGCTCCCTGAAGTATTGGGCTCATCTTCCTGGCTGGGAGGTTTGCACTTTGCCTGGTCCTCACCAAGGAAAAAACAGACAAATAAGGAGAATGGTTGCAGCCACAGGGCCTGAAAATGGCCAGCAGAACTTGGTGCCATTCGGAAATGTCCCCTAGGGGTCAAAACCCGACCCTGAACTCTGCATGGGTTCCTGAATGGCCTTGACTGAGCTAGGGTACCCTGATGGTTGTGCTACTGCCATGCCGAGTTGCTATCATGTGGGAAGTGGGCCCAGACTCACTCCTGATGACCCAGCCAGTGACAGGCTGGCCAGGAGCGTGAGGATGCAGTCAGGTTCCAAACACTGCCCTGGTGTTGATATACTGGGCTGAATGCTGCCTCCCCAAAACACATGTCCACATCCTGATCCCCAAACTTGTGTGCAATGCCTCATTTGGAAAAAGGATATTTGCAGATGACATTAAGTTAGGGATCTTGAGCTGAGAAGATTATCCTGGATTATCTGCATGGGCCCTAAATCCAATAACAAATATCCTTATAAGAGACACACAGAGATGGATACATTCATGCAACCAGGGATGCCAAAAAAGACAGACACAGAGGAGAAGGCGATGTGAAGACAGAAGCAGAGATGGGAGTGATGTGGCCACAGCCAAGGAAGCTGGCAGCCACCAGAAGCTGGAAGAGGCAAGGAGCACATCTCCCCTAGAGCCACTGGAGGGAGTGTGGCCCTGCTGGCACCCTGATTTTGAATTTCTGGAGTTCTGGCTCCCAGAACTGTGAGAAAATGAAATTCTGTTGTTTCAACAGCAGTTAGCACCAAGTTTGTGCTAATTTGTTAACAGCTGCCCCTAGGGAAGAGGCCTTGGCCGTGAGCACCCTGAGAGATATCCGTAGGAGGAATAAAGGAACAGAGCGCCCTCCTGGAAATGTTTGGGAGTCAAGGGCACCGTGGCCTCTGCTGACTGCAGTGTAGCCCACGAAAGTCTGGCTACCCTTGCAGGATAGACTTTGAATTGATGGAGCATCATTTTATACCTGATTTCAATAAAAACCATGATGTAACACCCTGTAACACCCACTTATCTCAGCCACATCCCCAGGAGGCAGCAGGGGCTGCTTCGGCACCAGAGAGGCCTGGTCATTTGCATGGCCCTGAATCCTATGGGGGTAGACCAGATCCCCTGAGGCCTCGCCAGCCCTGGACCAAGCTACTGAGTGAGCAGAGATAGCATATCAGGCTCACAGCAGCCATGTCAGGAGGTCTGAACTTGAGTGCCCCTGTGTCCCTGCTCTGTGCCAGCCCCAGAGCTGCCTGCGTGAAGCCTGCAGTTCATTATCCACCCTAGGCAGTGTCTGCCAAACTGTGTGTGTACTGGGGACAAATGGGATCTCCAGGGAAGGCTTCTGGGCTGAGGTGGATAGGCAAGAAGGCGGAGGGCATTTTGGGCATGTCCGGGGGCAGGCAGAGGCCACAGGGCAGTCAAACTGGCTGGAGGCCAGGACTATCTCTGGAGGACACAGCAGGAGATGGTGAGGAGGGGGGAAGAGGAGGACGTCAGCTCCCATTGACTGGTTTCTTCTCCCTGCCAAGCACATATGAGATCTCAATTGGTATTTGCCAAGACTGGTAGCAGAGTGGCCATGGGACACAGTGGTTAGGAACGTGTGCTCTAGATTCAAATTTCCTGGTCCTGCTCGCCTAATCAAGACCAGGACCTTCAGTGGGCGGGTGTGGGTTTCCAGCCCCCATCCGCCGTTTCTGGCACCACACTGCTGTGTGCCAGGCCCTCACATACTTCGAATTTCATCCTCCGGGCCTCTTTCCTAAGCCCTAGGCAGGCTGAGTGCAGGTTGGAGCAGAGTGCCCGAGGCAGTGCCCTGCGGGGCAGGGAGCTGGTGGTCTGTGGCAGGGACAGCTTTAGCTGGCCAGGCCCTGTGAGCTCTCGGCATCTGGCCTCACCCTGAATGACCCGCCCCACTGCCTTTCCCTTTGCATCTTCCTTTCCTTTGAAGACTCTGCTGGACCGAGGATCCTTTCGGCCTGGGGCTCTGGGCTTCTGTGGGGCCTGAGGGGGAGGAGGGAGAGGTTGTTTATGAATCTGAGGAAATGGAGGAATGCGGAGGCAGGGATCTGGTCTCCCTCAGCAGCAGCAGCAGCAGCACAGTCCCGCACACCAGCCGGCCCAGCCCAGCTCATGCCGACCACGGGCAGCAGGGCCGGGGGCAAGAGGGCACCGCGGAGAGACACCTCAGGCCTCTTTGTCGGGAAAAGGTGTGGCCAGTGCCAGATTCTGATGGCTTCTTTCTCTCTCCCTTCCGCCCACAGTGGCCCACGAGCACCTTAAGGAGAGAGGACTGTTTGGCCTGCCTGCTCCAGGCGCCAACCCCTCAGACTATTACCACCAGATGACGCTCATGGCAGGCCACCCTGCACCGTACGGGGACCTGCTGATGCAGGGCGGGGGTGCCACCAGCACTCCCCATCTCCATGACTACCTCAACCCAGTGGATGGTGAGTGCCAGGCCCCATGAACCCTGCAGTGAGGGTCTGGGGGGACGGAGGATGGGGGCTGACGGGGGTGCCCTTGAGGCAGAGGAGGGCCCTCACTGTTCCTTTTGGGGGTGAGGGGCCCTAAGGAGAGGTCCAGGCTGTATGCTAATGCCTGACACAACTGCCATTCACAGGGGGACTGAATGGCCAGAGAGTGTTTTCGGCATTGCAGACATCACAGCACACAAAACACACTCATCTCTGTCTCTGGGGAACTTGCAGTGTGAAGGGGAGAAATAGATACTACACAACTCTGGGGTGGAACAGGGCACAATTCAGAATGAGGAAGTCAGGAAAGCCTCACTGGGAAGATGACATTTGAGGACGGAATTGCGAGGGGAGCTGTGCAGAAATCTGGGAGAAGGACGCTCCAGGCAGAGAAAATGGCAGGTACACAGGGCTGAGTCACTGAAACGGGGAGGCTGCGGCGGGGCCCATCTGACAGGGAGGGAGGTCACCTGTCCTGGACAGGTGCAGTTTTTGGTGCCCATTGGACACCAAGTCCTTCCCTCCACCAGATGCCATCCTCACTGGTGCTTCCACAGAGATACCTGCAGCCCCCTGACCATGGGCCCTGGGGTCAGCATGGAGCCTCTGTCGGGAGACAGAAGGGGTCAGAAGGCTCAGCACCTCTGCTTAGAAACCAAACAGCAGCAGCACAGTTCATGAAGGTCACCAAGGATGTGGGCAAACAGCCATGCCTAAATGTCAGTTTACTCCAAGAGTGGCCTTCCTTCCAAAGGCCTAGGAGTGGCACCAGGCCAGCTAGAAAGTGGACAGAGGCAGAGAATCCACGTCTGAAAGGGGTCAGATGAGGCAGGTGTCCCTAAAGGGCAGGGGAGGCTGAGCCAGGCAGCCAGGAGTCTTCCAGTGATTCGGCACACGTGAGCTCCTGCTCTGTGTGTGTGTTTGCGTGTGTGTGTGTTTACATGTGTGTGCACACATACACACATGAGAAAGAGAGAGGGGAGTGGAATGAGAAATGCCTCTGTTGTGTGCTTTACGTACATTTTCCCAGGTAGCTCCCTTAGCCCCCTTCTGAGGCTGGAATTACGATCCCATCCTTAAGATTAGTAAACTGGGTTTCACGACATCAGGTGACTTGCCCCAGGCCACAGATTGGAGTTCCAACCCCCCGCTCTGTTTGGTACCACACCATCTGCTCTTCCTGGGTCACACCGCCTCCAGCAGCACAGTGCACCTGACTGGCTGTGAGCCTCAGGGAGGGCCAGCTGGGCCAGATGTGTTTGGGCTCAGCCCAGAGCAGCTGGGCAGGAGAGGGGAGTAGTTATGTAGTGTGTTCCTGGAATGACCATGCCTGGGGAAGGAACTGGGGAGGTGGTAGGGTAGACCTGGGCCAGCACCTGGTTGAGCCATGTCCAGCTGTAATAGTTGGGCCTAGAGGTGGTGATGGGACCATGGGGGACCAGGGGAGGGGGTGGTACCAAGCCCTGTGAGCTGTATGCATTAAACACAATGAATGAGATCACATGTGTGAATGTGGTAGGTGCTCAATTAATGCTAGTTCCAGTCACTTGCCACCAGTATCCTTTTCCCTTTTTCCCATCCACCCCATCTTGCAGGATTCTCTCAGTTGTCAGCACCACTGTCCACCGGGTGCTTAAGCCCAGGCAGGCCTTTTCCTCCCCTTCTCCCCGTCCTTCCCATCCTCCAGGCCTGCCAAGCATGGCTCGTCAGCCTCCCTGGGTCAGCCAATTATCTGCCTCTCCCCCAGCACTGCCCCTCGGCTCAGGCTCCTGCAGCCCTGGCACTGCCCCGTATACCTGTCTTTCTTCCCCTCCGCCATTCTGTGATCAGCCCATGTGGTTGTCAGGATAAAATTCAGACTTTAGAATGCAGGCAAGTAGCTTTCCTCTCCAGCCTCACTTGCACGTTGCAGTACTGCCCCACACACCACCCCATCTGCAGGCTCCCACATGCCTCCCTGGGCTCATTCCTGCACGGTGTACTAGGACTTCTCCTGAGACACTACCCAAATCTGGCCTCTCAGGCCACCAGCTGGTTCCACTGCACCAGTGGGACCGAGGCAGCCTGACTCTACCTGGCTGGTGCCCTTACATATGAGGAGATGGTGAGCCCCGCAGGGCCCAGGCGCATGTCTGGCAAGGGGCAGGCCCTCTGCATTTGCAGAGTGAGTGCATGCGTGAGTGGCAGTTACAAAAGAACCTGGAGTGGAAAGATGCAGACTAACTAGGATAGAAACTGTGCTGGGGGTGAGCAGCTGCTGGCTCGCAGGGAGCCTGGAAGGCAGCTGGGAACAGCTCAGCATTTGGCAGCACCGGAGGCTGAGCATCACCGGGAAACGGGAAGGCTAGGCCCGGGGGGGCGATGAGGTGAGCTCCAAGTGGGCGGAGAGCTCCCACTCGCGTCCTGCTGCTGGTTCGCTCATCACAGCCACCCGCCATCCCTTCTCTGCTTTGGTAGTGGGCACGTGATTGGCTCAGTTACTCCGGCTCAGGGGTGGGGTGGGGGTGGGGGCATTTTCCTTAACATGGATTTTAGGAACAGACGACTTCTTTCCCTTTGTTCCCACTCAGTTATAGTCCAAGGAAATCAGAGTAGTCCCGGGTGATCTCCTATTTTTGTTGGTACTTAATACATTTTTTTCAAAGCAGTTTAAACTAGAATTGGAAAATGTTTGAGGCACTTCTGCTCAGCTCCGATGCCTATGTGGATGCGTTAAAATCTCTTAGAGCTTCATGAGCATTTCTAAGAAACTCTGAACACAGTGCTGGTACTCTCAGCCGAGGTTTGGACTCTGCTCAGCCCAGACCTGCCTCTGGGCTGTCCCCTGGCCTCCTCCCTTCCTATGAACCGTGGCAGCCAGGGAAGGCCCTGCCAGCTCCTGTGTTGTTGGTGGGACCCAGATGCACAGGTCTGCAGAGCATCCCTCCCAGCTGTACAGGTCTGAGTCGGTCCACTCCATAGAGAATATCAGTGAGCATTTCCTTCCAGTTGCTTTTTGTTCAACACTCTCACAGAGAAAACTGTGTAGGCCATCAGGGGGCCTGGCAGTGCAGTCCCAAAGATCACCTGTGGAAGGGTCCTGGGTCTCTCTGAGCACATGCATCCTCACACCAGGAAGCTGCCTGTAAACATGACTTTGAACATGTTAGCTCTAAGCATGTGCAGGTGCGGGGAGTGGGGGGCAGAGAGCTCACGGGAAGTTGGAAGAACCAGGCCTTCTCTGTGTCTTTCTCTTTCTCCCTCTCTCATACCCACACACTGGTTCATTCAGCAAGTGTTTATTGAGCACATACTATGTGCTGGGCTCAGTTCTACGTGCTAGGGACAGAGCATGTGCTGCCCTTGTAGCGCTTAGACTGCAGCAGGACTGTTCTGTGCAAGCTCCTTGGCAGGACACAGAATGCCCATCCTGACCTGTCACCCCTCCTTCCCCAGCCTCCCTTCCCAGCACCTTCCTTTCTGTTCCAAGAGGAAGGAGCACTGTAGGGGAGAGAAAGTTCCAGAGGCTTTGAATGTCAAGCTGAAGCATGGGGACAGGCTCTGCCAGACATGAGGCAAGCTAAGCTGGGCAGGTGTGCAGGAATGCCAAGTGGGACTGATCCCTGTCCCTAGCCCACTCGTTTGCAGACCACCAGCACAGTTTTCACCTTAGCCAAGTGCCTTCTGCACGACTGTGTACTTACTAATATATTCTTTTTTGGGTTAAATAAATGAATCTTAAATTGGAACTCTATATTTTTTCCGAAGATGGAAAACCTGATCATGTCTGAGGAGGATGTCCCTGTCTGTCTCTTGTCAAGCCTAAGATAATCTCAATTGGGTGGTGTGTACACCCTTCATTTGGGAATACACTCCAGTGGTGGAAGAAAGGCTGGAAGGCTGAGAGGCTCCGATGGGGCGCTTGTGGGATTGGAAAACCACACCCTGCATTCCTCTCAGAACACCGAGGCCAGAATGTGGGCAGGTCAAAGGGGTCTCCTGGGCTCTGGTGAAAGCCCATCCTCACTGGCCTCCTGGTGGTCAGTGGAGGCCCATTTCCTCTTGTTCTTAAAGGGGGCCTGATTTACAGCAGGAAGGTGAGGAGCAATGCAGAGAGCCAGTCAGGGCATTAAAGGTTATCATTCTTGGGAATTCACTCGTTGTTACCCGGCCCTAAAATGGAATTTTCTCGTGTTATGCAGTTGAATATTGGTGATTTAACAACAGAACAGCAGCAGCTGCAGTCTTCCTCCCGCCTCCGCTCCTACCACATTGAGAAGATTGAAATGTTTCCGATTGAAATGTTGTCTGTTTACAGCCCATATTTCCTCTGAGCTGTGTGTTTTATTGTCATATTGACACTAATTTGACTCAGATGTCACCACTCTGACTGTCGTTCTTTATGCTGTGTGCTGATGGGGGTGGGGTCAAAAACCAATTACATTGATCATAGCACAGAAAGGCAGGAAGAGCTGGTGGAGGGGCTGCTAGAGGCCCAAGTTGGGCAGGGAGTTCATGCCCAGCCTGGGGCAGGAGGGGAGACGGAGGCAGAGGAAACCAGGCCACAGGTCCCAGAGGGGCAGGTCTGCTGGATACGGGCACAGGCTAAATGGTGTATATGGGTCATCGGGTAAACCTGCACAGACCCTCCTGCCAGACCAGGGTTATGAAGCCACTTCACCGGTGGGGAGCCTGAGGCCCAGAGCCTTAAGTTTCTCTGTCTTCATCACCTAACTAGGAAATGGTGCTGCTTGGCCTCAGCCAAGCCCCTGGGCTCTTTCTTCTCTTTCTTAAGAGGGGGCAAGGGGGCTGTGGACAGCTACATGTGGGGCAGGTTAAGGTCCTCAAGCTAGATTTCCTTAGAACGTCTCCTCAGTGAGTCCAGGAAATATCTGTGCAAGGGAGTTGTGTGGCATGGGAACACCCTTGGCTGGTGAGGATTCAGGGCGCTCAAACCCCACCGCAAAGCTGCATTCTGCTGTCCCCAGGAAAGG